ATATTTGGATGTAGTCTGTTGAGTTCATCCATAATTGCCGTAGCTTCTTCCAAGCTTTCTGTTATAACTAGGGTGTCGTCGACGTATCTTTTGTACAGGATAGAGTGCTTCAGAATATTAGTTCCTTCTTCTTCCAGATGTGCCATGTTTATTGTAATGCCTTGGGTATATGAGTCGTTCGCTCGGAGGTGATGTGATCAGTGATTTTANATTTTAGTTTCAAAAGACCAGTCCCGTTGTTCGTTATTGCAACACCATCAATCGTAGGTAGTGCCTGTCCGCTCGACTGATAGTGTGCTATCTCGTCAAGTCCCTGTTGCTTATGTGTCCACGGTCTGAAATATTGTGCTATTTCAGTGCTATTTGTCCGTCAGCGCTCTCGCTGTCATCAAAAACATTCCGAACCCCAGGAAAGAAAGAAATTTGTTCCTTGTTTGAATTATTCCGTACTATTGCAGCTCAACTATTCTCCGCCTCGAACTAATCCCTGATCATATTTCCTTCACAGATCTGTGTACTTTCTGACGGAATCACCAAAGGTTATTATCAAGATGAAGCTAAAACAAAGGAGCTGTTTGATGAAGAAGGTTTTCTTCGTATGGGGGACGTCGGATGTTGGGCAGAGGTAATTGGCCACTATCGAACCCGGATTGTGTGTACTTTTCCCTTTGTTAATTTTATTAGTAGTGTTGTTGAGCTCACAAACAACAAACCATCTTGCGACGAGCGTATTGCGAAAGTAAAAGTAAATTTGTGCAGCTCAATTTACTTTTTAATAAGGATTGCCCTCATCTATTGATCCATAACTTCAATGATCATGCATCAAGAAATCTATCCAAATCCCCGCTATCGAAAGTTACGAGTTGCGCGCGGCAATATGACCTGTGTTTCAAAACTCACGTTATACAAATGAGTCTATTTATAGAGATGGAACTGACAAATTAGAGTGAAACAGGTGTTTTCCTCTTTTTCATAATATCGGATTAAACCAGTAATCCTGCATGACCGTGATCCCTAGCAAAGGACGTATCAAGATCAATGTGTGTCAAAGTTGGCGCTTGACAGTAGCATTATATCTCTCCTCTGCACATACACCCCACGACAAAAGTATTGCACGCCCCAGATTTTTGCATTATCTGTGCTCCCATTTACATCGTCAGTACAACTTGAAAATATAGACGGCAGCCGAATTAAACGCAGGGATACGGATGTTCATCAAATTATGGTAAATTTTAACGAAAATATGTCTAAAAACAATTTTCGCCGCGACAAAAGTATTGCACTCCTTCACACACCCAACTTGGTTTTAAAACGAGTGCGGTAGATATCCCGAATATGTACTTCTATTTGCCAACAGAGGACCGTGGTCACTCAGTGATCGACAGACTGGTGTAGGCTATGGTCATTCTCACATCACTCATAATGACCTTGAAAGAACAAGGACATCGCATTTGGTCACTTGAATTCATTGCCAACCACGGCGCGTTGGTAAAGGCTCACTGATAATGAGGAATCCAGAAGTGATGTCTTTCGTGGGATCAGCACCAACACACGAGAGATAGCCAGACAGTGTAATAGTTCAAATAGTTGTTTGGCAGATTTGAAGTTTGTGTGTCGATTGTAAAATTTCAGTAGCCTGGCTTTACAGATTTGAAGTTTCTATGTCGATTGTGAAAAGTTCAGTAGCCTCGGTGGGATTCGAAACACATTTGAAGTTTGTATGTGGATTGTGAAAAGTTCAGTAGCCTCGGTGGGATTCGAACCCACGCATGGACACCGCCTACGCTTTGTACGCGCATGCTCTACCAGCTGAGCTACGAGACCGCACCGATAGCATTGATTTTTTGCACATTCGAATGTACCCATCCAACTTACAGAGGCAATTAACCTTGTCTCAGAAGCTCATTCGGTTGAATCCGGTGAATTCTAAGGAAAACCTGTCGAGGCAGTCAACTTACATGCTAACTGGTGGATGCCACATACCTCTGTAAGTTGGATGGGTACATTCGAATGTGCAAAAAATCAATGCTATCGGTGTGGCCTCGTAGCTCAGCTGGTAGAGCATGCGCGTACAAAGTGTAATAGTTACCGATCACACTCTGATACGACATTTCAAGTGGAATCAGCCGAAAACAGTGTTAGACGAACCGGATACCAGGAACATTCTCACGGAAACTGAAAGACAGAGTGGTACGCATCATCTCACACTTCGCAAGTTATGCATCGGTGATGAACACGGTGCTCGAGTTGAACGTTTGGGTGCAAAGGATACGATGAACACTTGAGACGTTCTCTTATTTGAAGTGCAAGAAAATGAACAGTTACGTAGTTCTAACAGCTTTTCACACAGTAAGACTTCTATTGCTAACTGGAACCCATTTATCTTCCGAAAAAATGGAAGTTCGCCTACTTCAGCGATAAAATTTAATTTAGTTTGAATGGACTCAACTCACGGAAGCAATACTGGGACGTTCTACGGAGTGATAATTCATTAATCGGCTGAGCGATCGAAACTGCATGGTGGTATAGGATCTACTGAAATTCTCCATTTTCTCTTCGACTCTGATTTGAATTTTTCTGTCTTTCTTCCACATTATCCACATGGGCAGCCGGAAGACAGCAACCAAAACAGCCGTACAAAGTGCATGGTTCGTCCTTGTACAAAGTGAAATTGTTAAGCAACGGCCCAACCGAACTCACTATACTACGAGTGAGGTGCAAAATTCTGATCCATATTTCTTACACTGAAGCGGCAACGTACGCTAGAAATGATATGAAGTGAAGCCATTGAAGCCATTATCAAGTATGACATTGTCGTAATTTATCTAAAATGTTCATCAGCATCAAAAATAATGGTGCAGCCATTTTGGAATCAATTAGAAATCATTTTGACTGCCGGGAAGGTGCACCAACACTGCATTTTACACCATGAAATAGGAATTGGAGGCATTGTTCATTAGAAAGTGAAATACTATCGATACAGACATGATCATGAACCCTATACAGAGCAATAAGGTAGCTTCAGTGGGGAAAATCATTGAGAAGTACCATACTTTTTTCACGCTAAAAATTCTATTTTTTGAGATATTTTTGTTAAAACTTAACATAATTTGATGAAATTTCGTAGTTCCGCTTGTCATTTGGTTTCCGTCATCGTTCTCAAAGTGATGATGGTGACCATGCATGTTGAAGCAGAGAAAATGCAATATAAGTGTGTGTGTGTGTGTGTGTGTGTGTGTGTGTGTGTGTGTGTGTGTGTGTGTGTGTGTGGAGCGGGGAGGGGGGCTGGAATACTTATGTCACGAGGTGTAATACCCATACAAGAAACCATCCGTTCCATGCAATTAACCAAAACCAAATGCTCACAACAGTGATTAGTCCAGACGTCAGACCTGCGATCCCCCCAAAATTGCTAATCTTTGGCAAGAAATTAACTGTAGGCAGTTCCAAATCACGTCTTGGTGTTCACACGTCTGGAGGATTTTTCCATTGGGCACTGAACATTTCTCAGAACTCTGTCAGAAACAACGTGTTTTGAACTTTTCTGATGTGAAAATCATCCAATAAATTGCAGCTCATCCTAATTTGAATCTACCCGGGGAAGTTACCTTGCATACCAACTAATCTGTCTGGATTACTCTTCCATTGGATTATGCGACCAGATCAGCGCGATTACGGCGACTGTGCAGCCGAATGAATTCTTCTTCTGAATCAAGAATGAGCCGTTGAAGAACATTGTTTCCAAAGTGAAGTCTATCTGTCATGGACATGTACAAATAAAAATGCAACGATAAAACCAAACGTTCAACAAGATTCCGGATTAACGATATAGTTGGCAAACAGAGAATATCTAGATTATGCTTTCGTACTGCGTCAAAAGAGCATACCTAGTACTAAATATACAAATAAGCGCACTTTGTTTCGTCGCTTAATTGTGATTTAAGCCCAGTATTTAACATGTTATTCATTCCGAGGATGAATAAGTATAGGTTTCAAGCATGTTACTGCCTCCCTTTCTTACATTTTTCTGTTTCTAATACTATCCCCTTAAAAAACCTATTTCCATTCAGAATGGTGCAATTAAAATTGTCGATCGATGCAAAAACATGTTCAAGCTGTCTCAAGGCGAATATGTGGCCCCGGAACGTGTGGAACAGATCTACATGACCAGCCCGCTGTTGAACTGTGTCTATGTGGAAGGTAACCCGTTGCACGCATTCACAGTCGGTGTGGTCGTGCCGAACTGGACGGAACTTCATAAGCGACTCCAGACTGGGAATCAATTTTCCGAGAATGGGAAACCGCAACCAACAACGGAGGAATTGTGCGAGAACAAAGAAGTCAAAACAGTGATCCTCCAGGAGTTGAACACCGTCGGTCGAGCAAAGGGCCTCAAAGGGTTTGAACTGGTAATACAGTTTGATCTACTCTAGTGATTATAAGCTACTCACTTATTCTTAATTATTGGAGTTACATCTGGCGGTGTGTGAAAGTAAGAGATGAGATGCATGCCACACTATCAAACAAGAAAATTGATATTAGCACACATTAGTTAAAATGAACATTTTTAGTATGAGGTTAACCGTTACCGATTCGAACTAATATTATACATCCGCAAATGAAAAAGAGCGATATGATATCGTAGTCGACTCTATTGTGTACCTTTTTTCCCTAGAATTGTATAATGCAATTAATAAACCAGGTTGCCTAGTGTATGTGAATGGAAATGTGTAAAGTCTGACATGGACACGAAGAACAACAGAAATAATGAAAATGCTCGTTTTCAATAACTATAGTGTTGCACGTAGTCAAAGTCAAAGTTTTATTATGGGAATAGCTTACAAGCTGGTGCTTCTCTTGTCCC